TATAGCAAAAAAAAAAAAAAAAAACGACGATTTTTAAACTTAGAAAAATTTTCAAATTCGATTAAAAACTTTTTTTCGCGTATAATTTTTAGATGGAAAATAAATAAATTTCATGAATTTAGTCGAAAATCAAGTTTTTTAAATTTTCTGTAGGAAAAAAAGGAAAATCGATGAATTGGACAAATAAAATTAAAAATGTTCGATTACCTAACTATTTTCAATATCATACCTAACGAAGTTCTTATAGAAGAAGTTGGAGTTTTAGGCTCAGAATTTTAAACATTGAAAATTGTACAGCAGAAAAATTATTAGATAATTTCGTGTATCCACAAAAATCAGAAATCTGATTTTATACATTAACGGGTAAAGAAAGAATTAATTAATTAATTTATTTATTCATTATTTACCTGGTGAATATCTTACATCTACTAACGTTCTCCAACACAATATTCCTACTAAAGACGAAGAACCAGTTTTTACACATCAATATCGATTTCCACCTGTGCATAAAAAGAAGAACTTTTAAAACAAACAAGTGAACTCTTAAAAAACAAAATAATTAAACCTTCTCAATCTCCATATAACTCCCCAGTTTGAATTGTGCCAAAGAAAGCCGACTCCTTAGGAAATAAACAAGTTGTTCATTTCATGACCATTAAGCTTCCTCAATATGACGGGTTCCACGTCAAGTGACCCAGGTCAAAAATTTACATGGAATATTTGAAAAATTTGTAGTTTCTGTAAAACAAAACGAAAATACGTTTTCTATTTTGGGTTTTGCTGCTGTTTTTCAACACTTTCTAATAGTGTGAACAAATGTAGAGAAAAAAAATTGTTTGACCTTGAAAAATTAAATTAAAAAATAAAATTTCATTTTTTTATCAAATGGGCAGTTTTTATTTTTTTTAAAAAAATTTTATCATAAAGGTGAGGTTTTTTCCTAAAAAAAATGTATAGGTCAAAACGTGGGACAAGAACTTTTAACTGGTCAAATTAAGCATTTACTTCTGCCGTGCACCGTCCCACAGTGGAATTTTTTTTACAATTTACTATTAAAAAATGTCTATAGCTTACAATTTTTAACCGATTTGAGTGTTCTTTGTCTTAAATTAAAGGGGAATAAATTCTTAAGACATCCTTCGAGGCCGATTTTGGAGATTTTAATTATTTATAATTTTTTTTAAATCAAAGTTAACAAATTAATACACTTTTTTAAAAAAGGAGGTTTTTTTTCTTATTCCGTTGATGCACATGATCTAAATAAATTTAAATTCATCCAATATGACCACCAGATAATTAATAAAGGATAAAATAATTTATTTCAATTGTTATAAACAATATATAGCCCAACAACGCGCAGGGGCGGTGGATTGCAGAAGTAAATGTTTATTTTGACCAGTTAAAAGTTCTTGTCCCACGTTTTGACCTATACATTTTTTTTAGGAAAAAACCTCACCTTTATGATAAAATTTTTTTTTTTTAAATAAAAACTGTCCATTTGAAGAAAAAATGAAATTTTATTTTTTAATTTAATTTTTCAAGGTCAAACATTTTTTTTCTCTACATTTGTTTACACCATTAGAAAGTGTTGAAAAGCATCAGAAAAACCCAAAATAGAAAACGTATTTTCGTTTTGTTTTAAAGAAACTACAAATTTTTCAAATATTCCATGTTAGACCAAAAATTTAAACTTTGACCCCCTCCAGTTTTTATATTTGTTTAAATAAATTAATAATATTTGGTATTTTTAATTGTATCTAATAGGACTATTGTTTCTGCAAAATTTTTACCCGATCCCAAACATTTAAAATTTTGACCTGGGTCACTTAACGTGGAACCCGTCATATATATTATTATATATAATTTTAAAAGTTAAATAATTATAATAGTTTATTAAATATAATTAATAAATCTTCTTTTTAATAAATCAAAAAAAAAATTAATGATTTAAAGTATTAAGATAAAATTTCAAAAAATACAAAATTTCAATTTTTTTATGAAAATCTAAAATATTTATTAATTCTATAAATATTGATAAAATATATACTTTATATATATGAATCAATTCGTTTTTATGTCAGGAATGCAATTTTGACAAGAATTAATGAAAATTTTAATATAGAAAAAAGTTATTTTAAAAAATCCAAAAATTAATTTTTTCAAAAATTAAAAAATTGTTGAAAAAAATTTTTTTTTTAGATATTTTCGAAAATCCTTCTGTCTGATTTTTGGTATTCGTGACCGTAATACACCTACAAAATTTTATCAAAATCCGTCAAGACGTGTAAGAGAAAATTTGTCCACAAGAATCGGTGACATACACACACACACACACACACACACATACATACACACATACATCCGGACATTTGTTCCTCTCGACGAATTATATATACTACACTTGAAAATTTGTAAAAATAATTGATTCTAAAAAATTCGGAAATCGACATCACTATAAGGCTTCCTTTATGAGGAAGCAAAAATGGCGAATGGTACTCGATTTTTGCAAATTAAATGAAAAAACAATTACTAACTTTTTCCATTGACAAATATTAATGAGGTACTTGAAACCCTCGGAAATGCCCAATATTTTTCTGTCTTTGATTTAGCTTCAGGTTTCTACCAAATTAAAATGAATCCAAAAGATTCAAACCAAACTGACTTTTCAACACCTTATGGTCATTATGAATTTGACCGCATGCCATTTGGACTGAAAAATGCCCCAAGTTGTTTTCAAAGATTAATGAATTCTTGCCTTTCTGGTCTCATTGGTACTGAGCTATTTGTCTATTTAGATAATGTAGTTATTTTTGCAAATTCTTTAGAAGAACATCAAGAAAAATTTAAGAACTTTATGAATCGACTAAAAGTAGCTAATTTAAAATTGCAACCGGATAAATGTGAGTTTCTCAGACCTGAAGTAGTTTATTTGGGACACATTATTGACAATAATGGAGTTAGACCAGATCCAAAAAAAATTAGTGCGGTTAAAAATTTTCCAACTCCCAAAAACGTTAAAAACATAAAACAATTTTTAGGCTTAGCAGGATATTAGACGTTTTATTGAAAAATTTTCTGAAAAATCGGGACCTTTAACCCTCTGCTAATGCTAACTTATCCCCACTCTATCGCCAAAGCACGTAACTCCCATAGTCCCCACCAGGCGTCCAGAATGACGATTTTTGACGATAACGGTCGTTAGCATCAGCAGAGAGTTAAACCAATTGTTGAAAAAGAATGTGATTTTTAAATGGAGTGAAAAACAACAAGAAGCTTTCGATAAATTAAAAGAAGAACTTTGTGAACAACCTTTATTGCAAAGACCAGATTTTGATCAACCCTTTATTCTAACTACCGACGCATCAGGTTTTGCTATTGGCGGAATTTTATCTCAAGGCGAAATTGGAAAAGATAAACTTATTGCTTACGCACCAAGATCTCTAAATGAACATGAAGTTAAATTCGATACTTATAATAAAGAAGCTCTCGCGATTGTGTATTGTGTTCTACATTTTAGACATTTTCTTTACGGAAGAAAATTTAAAATTGTGGCTGACCATAAACCTCTATTATGGTTTCAAAATTCAAGTGATCATTGCTCTCGTGTAACAAGATGGAAACTTAAATTAGCAGAATACGATTTTGATATGGTATATAAAGCAGGGAAAATAAACGTTAATTCAGACGCATTATCTCGCAACCCAGTAAAAATTGTCAAAAGTCTCCAAAATGAAATTCAAATAAATGAAGAAGATGAAAAATAAGAAGATTATTATGATAATGAAGAAGATGACTACGATGATGACGAAGGTAAAAATGATGAAAGTGATTATTATAGTGAAAATAATGTTGATAATTTATTTAGTGACGAAGAAATTAACTACGATGAAATTGAAGAAAAATCAAGTCATATTGGCTGTTTTCGGCACTCGCCCCGAGTTAACTCCGGGTTAATGGTGATTGGTTAGACCAACAGAATGTTTTTGATGATTGGATAATATTTAACTCGGGGTTAACCCTGGGTGAGTGCCGAAAACAGCCATTATAAATGTGACCACAGTGTGTGCGGTTTCATGCGGGGTCAGAGCCCGGGTGGGCAATTTCTGCACGGGAATAATTAATGTGATCTCTGATACTACGAAAAACGAAAAAGTTAAAATCTTTGTCAAAATTTGATTGCGGTAAAATTACCAGTGAAAAATGAAAAATTCAATGCTATTACTACTAAAGGTAAATCAAAGAAAATGAATCAAGAAATTATAAATTTTAATTCGAAAAACATTAAAGAAAAAGTAAAAAATTCAAAATCGAAAGAAAAATTAAAAACTTTTGATCAATTTGGTGAAATTACGCGAAATTTACAAAGTCAAAAAAATAAATCAATTTAAAGAAAGTGCGAAAAAATTACGAAATCCAGTTTAAGATAAAGTGCGAAATTTAGTGTCAAAAGGCGTCGAAAATCTACGAAGTGTTAAACGAAACTTACAAAGTCAAAAATTAATTCGGAATCAAGAAAGTGTACGAAATCAAGTTCAAGAAAAAGTGCAAATCGAAGAAAAACTATGAAATCAAATCCAAGAAGAAATAAAGAATTCTAAAAATAAAAAATCTAGTTCAGTTCAAAAAAATGTTCGAAATCTGCGAAATCGTGAAAAATTAAGAAAAATAAATTATAATGAAGATATTAATGAAGATTTAACTAAAAGAAAAAGAGGCAGACCGCGTAAAAATTATATTGAAAATAATCAAAAGAAAAGAATTAATTCAAGTGACAATTCGAAAAGTGAAAAATTTTATAAGAAAACGAAGAAAAACTTTCAAGATAATGACAGTGAATCAAGTGAAAGTGATTTAGAATTTGTAAATTATGATAATATTAATCAATCAAAAAATGATTTTCGTGAAAATAATTCTAGTTCTAGTGAAGAATTCAGTGATGATAGTTTCGAAGATTACGATGAAGTTGAAAATAAAGCCGAAAGTAATGCATTAGGAGAAATAGTAGATACAGAGAATATTGATTTTTATACGAAAACACAGCTGTCGGATGAAGAGGAACGTCCTCCGCCCGAACCCCCTCCTGAGTTTTCTAGTGGTTCCCTTCTAAACGCACATCATACAGGTGACATAGAAAAATCAACAAGTCGACCCTCGCATAGCAATATAGTTGAATGTAAAGACCAGTTAAGAATGCGGAAAGATAATTATGCATACTTTTTATCGACAACAGGCACCCCTATGGATAATGGTTCCTCAAGTCTTTTTAAACAGAATGAACTCCCACAATTTAAAAATCTTTTACTAAATGAAGCTAAAGAAATTAAAAGGGGAAATAACTTTTTACACATTGCATTACCAATTACCTCAGATTCAAGCGAAAGTATTACTCAAATAACAAATAACATTAAATTAACAATCCAATCATTTAAAAACTTAACTGAAAAATTTAAATTATGGTCGGTTAGTATTGCGAAAACAGCTGTTATAAATCACGTTAATTGTCAAGACATTGAATTAATTTTAAAGAAAACTTTTCAGAATTCTAGCACTACAATAATTATTTGTAAAGGTTATGGTGCAATATGCAACAAATGAACAAAGCCAAATTTTGATTGAGGAAGCACATTCTTCTGCCTTAGGTGGTCACAAAGGAGTAACAAAAACTTATAACAGAATTAGGCACAAATATTTTTGGGAAAATATGAAACTCGATATTCAGAAATATATACAAATTTGTTTGCAATGTCAATTAAAGAAATTAGTTCGAGTAAAGACTAAAAATCCAATGATTATTACTGATACCCCAGGAAGTGCATTTGAGAAAATTTTAATGGATATTGTAGGTCCCCTACCAGCAACTGAATGTGGTAACGAATGTATTTTAAATATACAAGATTGTTTAACGAAATAATCTATCGTAGTACCTTTTACCAAATCAACAAGCTAGCACCATTGCAGATGCATTTGTTAAAAAATTTATTTGCATTTTCGGATCTCCTAAAGGTGTTTTAACAGATCAGGGTACAAATTTTTTAAGCAACTTAACCCTTTGAGGACCAAATTCTTTCTTAAAAAATCGCGATTTTTGATTTTTAAGGAAACTTTTCAGGGACAGTTATTGAAGTTTTTTATTTGAAGACCAGTGTCTGTCATACGAAATTTTTCAGACTATGTGAAAATTATTGTTTCAATATTCAATTTTGAAAATTAAAAACTTTATGCACAAGTTAACAAAAAAATGTTCATGTTGCCTGAAAGCAACACTGGTCCTCAAAGGATTAATAAAACGACTCGCAAAACGTTTTCGTATTCGACAATTTAAAACCACATCTTTTCATCCACAGTCAAACGGTTTATTAGAAAGGTCTCATCACGTATTAGCAGAATACCTTAAACAATTCGTTAATAAACCTTTTAATAATTATATTTTTTTTAGATTTTTTGATTATCTTTCAAATTGAAATAACATGACATAAGAAAATTTTTGAAAACAGATAAAAAAGCAGATTTCTCTATAAATTTTTAGACACATCTGTTTCTCCAAAAATGGAATTTCTATCTAAATTTTACAAAACATACGAATTTTTTTTTTCTCAACATAGAAAGAATAATTAAAATTATTTTGCGTATTCTTTCTTTGAGAGAAGGGAAGGGTGACTACAAATGTTTAAAAAAAAATTCTAAAAGAAATAAATTCTTTAAATAATAAATTAACGAAAATTTTTTCCCAATGTATGATTTAGGATTATTATAATTATCATAAATATTTCTTCAAACGAAAAGCAATTTATAAAATTTTCATTGGACTTTTCTAAAAACTAACATAACAAATAAATATTATTCGAAAATGAAAATTTCTAAAAAATGTAATTAAGGAGGTTCTATCGATAATTGATTTAATGAACAGATTTTGATAAAATCTTACGAGCAACAAGATAAAGTTAATATAAAGGCGTAGTTAAATTTTTGTAATCTCTAGGTACCTATGAAAAAAATTATAAACATTTTTGATTTTCAACATTTAACATTGAGTCTTATGGGAATTGAGTAGTTTGTCATATATATTTACAAACTGCAAAGTATTAAATGAACAGATATTGATCTAAATTTTTTAAATACTAAACCGATATGCAATAATTACATATCTGTTAAAACAATTGTCAATAGGTAACTGAGATTTACAATAAATCAATTTGTAAACAAAATTTACGTTTCATCTAAAAATATAAACAACACTTATAACGTTCGGCAACGTTGCATGCACTATACACATTAAATTTGAGCGCGAAATTTAAATGATAATTTTTATCACAGGTTAGAACCTCCTTAATACTGTTATCTTTGAATCTTTATCCTAATTGACATGTGAATCATTAAATCATAAAATTTTAGTTTTTAAAATATGAATGCAAATGTAATTTAAAATTTATATTAAAACTTCTAATCTCAAAATGTTGTGTGAATTAACACTTTTAACCTTAACATGTATATTCTCAAATCAATCTGCAATGTATGCGTGAGATTTTAAACTAACATTTCCAAACATTAACTGATCACTTTCAATATTCAAAATTACTGAAAATGTATGTACGATTTTAAATTTAAATTAATGGCTGTTTTCGGCGTTCACTCAGTGTCAACACTGAGTTAACGAAAGTCCAATCATTAATAATATTTATTAACATTCTGTTGAAACTATCCAATCAGGATTAACTCGGGGTTAACACCGATTGAACGCCGATAACAGCCCAAATCTCTTGCCTTGAAATGTAAGGAATTTTTAAAATACTAGTCACTATTTTTGCGCGCTACACACGCCCCTTTTCTTTTTGCTATTAAAAATGGAAATGTTTTTACACCAAAATTATCTGCATCATTTAATTCACCATTGACAACTTTAAGTTAAAAATCTACAAATTCCGTTTCTTGTGGTAAAGCTCTCATATTATCTGTTAATGTGTATTTTTTGAAATATTTCTATAGTTTACTATTTTTTATTGATAAATTTACTATTTCTGATTTAGTACCCCGTTCTTTAATTGGTAAAGTTTGTCGAAAATCTCCGCCTAGAATTACAATTTTACCACCAAAAGGTTCGTTGGAATAGATAATCCATAATTTCTAAAGCATATTTTGGAGCCATTGGTGCTTCATCTCAAATAAAAACATCTATATTTTTTAAAAAGAGGCCTTCTAAAGATTGAACTTTAATGTTTCAAGATGAATCACTGTATAATGGAACGGGTAAGCCTAAAACTTTATGAACAGTTTTTCCATTAGGAAGCAGAGTCGCAGCTGTACCTGTAAATGCCATGTTGCAAACATATATTTATTCCTTTACCTCTTAACAATTGCCATAGAACCATCAAAAGAAGAATCCTTTAGGGCATCAAGTACATAATCAACTACAAGTTTTTGTTTTACATTTAATTTAGCATAATTCTGATCTTCTATGTAAATATGTTCTGCAATATTTATATCATTAACTTGTTCAGTACAAATTTCATCTTGTATATCTAATAACCCCTTCAAGTCAGTTAAATTATATCCTTCGTTAAATAACATTGTTTTAATATTTCTACAAGCCCTTTGTTCAGCTTTAATGTCGTTTATTTTTTAATAATCTTCTGACATTTGACCCTTAAATTGTTCCCATATATAGTTTATCCGGATGTACAGGATGACATTGAATTAAAATTCTTGTGAATAATTGGCGAAGTGAATGAGGCATCATACATAATGCAGTTTCTTCGATTGTCCTAATCCATTCACTATCATCTTCTACAAGTCCAAATGCCAAACAAGCAGTTGTAAAAGATTTATGAACAACTCTATTAACTGTTCTCAAACTTTCAAAAGAAGTTGCTCCTTTTACTATAAGCAACAATAATCTAAGATGAAATAACTCCAATTGATGTGGATTAACTGATTACATTCTTCCTTATACTTTTACTTTACGAATTCTTTGTTTCCATTCAAGAGATTTTGTTACCCATGTATAATTCTCTGGTATATTTGAATAATAATACTTTTGAGCATTACTATCTCGTTGGTTAAGCTTAAAATAATCTAAAAGTTTTGTATTTAAATTGAAAGAAATGCCGTTACTATCTTTTTCTTCTCGAATAATAACATTCTGTTCATTTGGCAAATGTATGGGTAAGCGATTAACGCTATGACTCTTTTTCTCTAAAGGTTTACTTAGAATTCTCCAAACTGCCTCAACTAGACCAACATATCTATTTTCTTCATAATGATGTATTTCATTATGATTAACAGTTACCTCACCATTCGCATTTGTGATAACAATAGATGCATCATCATGCCCTTTGAGAATATATTTATATAAATATTTAACAGACTTGATACTCGAAACTATTTCTCCATTAATATGTCAATTAAATATTTCTGAAAGTTTAGGGCAATACGGAACAACATTAGAATTATCAACAATAAATCCATTTGGTCGTTCATACGCTTTATTATTATTTCTTCGACGACAATGAACATAGCAATTTTCTTCAATTGTAGTTTCTTCTTGGTTACTTTTTGGAAATTTTTTTTAAACATTTCCCATCAATTAAACACCAATCTCCACAAGGTCCGTGAATATTATTTTGCATTATTATTTTATGTAAAATAGAATTGATATTTTCATCAGGAATTTCTGCAGAAATATAATGATCAACACTTTCAACTGTTAATATTTTAGAATTTTCTTTCAATATAACTAACAAATGAATGTGTGGCAATCCTCGCATTTAAAATTCAATAACATAAACATAAGATTTGACTTCTCCAAATAATTTATTATCAACAATAGATTCAAGTTAATGTTTAACTTTTAATGCGAAAACCCTAGTTACTATATCAGGTCTATCAGTAGAAGTTTGATAGGGGAATAAATTTTCCTGTATCTCTTTCCAATTTGGATTACACGTCATTGCGATAAATAAATCTGGTCTACCATGACCAGCAACAATAGCCATCGAATCCTGATATTGTTGCATCATATTGCGAGGTGATCCTATAAAAGTAGAAGGCAATATAAGCGTTTTTCACACGTGTACATCAGTTTCCAACACATGATTGTGTAAATAATCCATCAGTCCTTTATATCTTTCACTTCTCACTTAAGCATGATTATTTGAACAAAATCTTAATCTATCTTTTTCTATTTTTACATCATTTTCAACCACCCATTGTTAAAACAATCTACAAGCATCTAAAAGGAAAATCTCTGTAATAAATGAAATATGAATATCAATGGATATTCTAAAGTTTTTGAGGTCGCTAAATCCGAATCTTTGGTCAGAAATAAAAAATTCAAAATGTCGGCTCTAAAATGGCGAACGAAAAAATTTAAAATCCGTATCCCAAGTAGCACGTAATATTACAGTAATATTAAAGCAATACCACCCGGTAATATTACTGTAATAAATGTTACTGTGATATTAAAATGTCCGCCTCATGGTAATATTACGCGGTAATATTACTGTAATGTTACAGTAATATTACATTAATGTTACGCGGTAACGTTACTGTAATGTTACAGGAATATTACATTAATCTTACGTGGTATTATTACTGTAATAATAATAATAATTATATAAATTAACATTTATATAAAAAAAAATTGTTTTAAAATTTATATTTGGCCATTAAAAGCAAATAAAAATGAAAAAGTGATCGTCTTTCGTTGTTGGGACGGTTTGAAATAGAATACCTCATATAAATGGGGCATTCTTTCTGAACGGGAGACCCCTATCCATCCAAAAATAAATTTGACCTAGAGTGTTCTATTTGGTATTAAAATTTAGCTCTTTGTGTCTACTTTTGAATGCAAAGTGGCCAAACACGAAATTCAAGATGGCTGACACAATATGGCTGAAAATGTAATTAGAATTCATAAAATTCATTTTAAATTCCTATGCCAAAAAGATTTATTTTGACGGAAAAAGTTGTACGAGGTCTCAAAATTTAGCTGTTAATGTCTACTTCAAAATACTAAATGAAAAATTAAAATATTGAAGATGGCAGCCACAATATAGCGGCTAATTTTTTAAAATTGCTTAAATTCACTCAAAACTTATTACTCGGGGGTTTTTTTGGTCGCTGATTACGAATCTTGAGTTAGTTTTCAAAAAATGCAATATGGAAGATCCAATATGGTAGACGAATTTCTGAAAAAAATTACGAATTCGCAAAAAAACTCGTAATTCGAAAGTTTTTTAGGTCGCTGATCACGAATCTGCTAATTACTATCAAACACTAAAAACAGCGGATCTAATATGGATAGTTAAGTTCAGGTTTGTTAAGACAAGACTAGTTTTGGGCCAATAAGCTAAGGTAAATTAAGATCAGTGTCCAGGCAGTCAAATCAAGACTAGTATGGGTCCAACCAGCCATGGTAAGACAGGGTCAGTGCCTAGGCAGTCAAGTCAATTCTAGTTAAGGTCCAACCAGCCAAGGTTAGACAAGATCAGTGCCCAGGCAGTCAAGCCAAGACTAGTTTAGGTTCAACCAGCCAAGGTGAGACAAGATCAGTGCCCAGGCAGTCAAGCCAAGACTAGTTTAGGTCCAACAAGCCAAGGTTAGACAAGATCAGTGACCAGGAAGTCGAGACAAGACTAGTTTTGGGCCAATCAGCTAAGGTAAGACAAGATTAGTGCCCAGACAGTCAAGCCAAGACTGGTTTAGGTCCAACCAGCCAAGGTTAGACAAGATCAGTGCCCAGGCAGTCAAGCCAAAACTAGTTTAGGTCCAACCAGCCAAGGTTAGACAAGATCAGTGACCAGGCAGTCAAGCCAAGACTAGTTTAGGTCCAACCAGCCAAGGTTAGACAAGATCAGTGACCAGGCAGTCAAGCCAAGACTAGTTTAGGTCAAACCAGTCGAGGTGAGACAAGATCAGTGCCCAGGCAGTCAAGCCAAGACTAGTTTAGGTCCAACCAGCCAATGTTAGACAAGATCAGTGACCAGGCAGTCAAGCCATTTTTTAATTTTTTGATGGGTATCAAATTGGCTTGACAAACTTGGCTGCCTGGGCAATGATCTTGTCTAACCTTGGCTGATTGGACCTGAACTAGTCTTGGCTTGACTGCCTGGGCACTGATCTTGCCTAACCTTGGCTGGTTGTTCCTAAACTAGTCTTGGCTTGACTGCCTGGGCACTGATCTTGTCTTACCTTGGCTGGTTGGACCTAATCTAGTCTTGGCTTGACTGCCTGGGCACTAATCTTGTCTTACCTTGGCTGGTTGGACCTAAACTAGTCTTGGCTTGACTGCCTGTGCACTGATCTTGTCTTACCTTGTCTGGTTGGACTTAAACTAAAATTGATTTGACTGTCTAGGCACTGACCTTGTCTTACCTTAGCTGGTTGGACCCATACTAGTCTTGATTTGACTGCCTGGGCACTGATCTTGTCTCACCTCGGCTGGTTGGACTAAAACTAGTCTTGGCTTGACTGCCTGGTCACTGATCTTGTCTCACCTTGGCTAATTGAACCTAAACTAGTTTTGGCTTGACTGCCTGGGCACTGATTTTGTCTAACCTTGGCTGGTTGGACCTAAACCAGTCTTGGCTTGACTGTCTGGGCACTAATCTTGCCTTACCTTAGCTTTTTTATTTATTCTATTTACTTGATTTAAAATGTATAAAATATTTATAAGGGTCATTTTATTTTATTTCACCTAAAGTCGTTATGATCTATTTTTAAGAAAATCTGGTGATTTGTGATAATGAATTTTAATATCGGTACAATTCATTTCTTGCAAATATTTTATTGTTTATTTATTTAGTTATTATTATTTCATTAAATATATATTTTACTTAAAATTTGAATTAAATGAGTAGATAACCGTTTGTAATATTAATTTAATGTTTTGTAGGCGCATTTGATTAATTATAATTTATATATATATAATTTTTTTCAAAAAGGGTCATGCTTTTTCCTTTAAAAAATACTAAGTGTCTATTTCGCCCGTCAACTGGCGAAATAAGAGGAATAGATTATTTCGCCCGTCAGTGAAAATGCATGGCAGTTAAAGACGGGCGAAATAAGAGAAATAGTTTATTTCGACCGTCACTGAAAATATATGGTTAGAAAAGACCTCGCCCGTCTTATTAAAAGTCATTGACGGGCAAAATAATATAGTTTTCTTATTTCGCCCGTCTTTTCTAACCATATATTTTCAGTGACGGGCGAAATAAACTATTTCTCTTATTTCGACCGTCTTTTACTGCCATGCATTTTCACTGACGGGCGAAATAATCTATTCCTCTTATTTCGCCAGTTGACGGGCGAAATAGACACTTCGTAAAAAATATCCATAGGGACTCTTGTTGTGTGTATTATAGGCCAATAGGGCAAAAGTATAATATATACCAGTAACCTTGATTAACAGGGTTTTCTAGCGAATCGAAGAAGGAGGAAAAATTGAAAAATTCTGAATTTTTTTTAATCCGTGAATTTTAAGCTTTTTAACTTTTGGTTTAAAAATGTTTCCAACTTTTTTTCAAAATCGTTATTTAAAAATTTATATTTTCTTAACAATGTTTATTATAAAAGCACACATATATAATTATCAAATTTAGCTATTTTGGTCGAAAGAAAATCAACATATATAAAAGTAATGTTTTAATTTATAAAATTTGTAAAGTTTGAATTGCCAAATTGCTTAGACACCTTTATTCATTGATTATATTTTAACTTTAGTCACTTACGAAGAGGCGTTGGAAAAATTAGAATACGTTTTAAATTTGACGGATCCGGATACAGACGACGTAGTGAACCGGGACAAGATGAAAAAAATAAGACATGACAGATGTTACAAAAGATGTACGGAATCGGACACTGACGAAGATCAAGAAGTCGTTAAGCCGAAAAAAATTTTTAAGCCAGCAAATAATAATTATTTATTCGGCAAGAACAATTCCGCTGATACTTCTCAACAAATTAAAATCCAAATCAAGCAGGAGCATCAAAACAAAACTACCAAAATTAATCAGATTGCTACAAACAGTGATTTATTATTTTTCATTAAAAATTTGTAATTAAAATTCTTCTATGAAAATTAATTTTTAATAACTAAGTCAAATTATTTGAAAAGTGCATTATTTATTATTTCTGAAAAATGTGAAGTGTAAATCTTTTAAAATTCAATTATACTTCAAAAATTTTATCTATGATTCTTCCCGAAATTAATTTTAAATTAACTAAAATCTAACTACTCTTTAATATTTTTAAATCATGATTTTAAAGAATTAAGATTTATTAAATTAATTAATACAATTAATATTACTTTAATGTACATCGACTAAAATGACTCTTGTGCTTTATGGTCTGAGGTCTGATTTAACTGATATGATATTATTAATCTAGGTTTACAACAGCAAAACCATTCTGAAATAAATGAGAGGAGAAATAGTGACCCTAATTCAGAAGCGATAACTCAAGGCCCTCAAGGTATGTAGGCTTGTAAATTTCACCCAATGTCTTGTCCACTTTTTTAGAGATCTATTAATTTGTATTTGTAATTTCTGATTTTCACGAAACGCATTTCATTATTTTTTATAAAATGTTATACAATTACTTAAAAATTAAAATTTTCAATTAAAATAATTTGCAAAAGAAAGTGTACTTTAATAATTAAAAATTTTTTATAAGTAGAATAAGTAGATGAATCAGAAAATGGAAAGGATCTGCAGTCAGGATCCACTAAGTCGATTGGCTCTGCTAATTCTGAACAGTTGTCTAAAGGTATATATGTAAATTTTTATTTCACTCAAAAATCGTCGCTTTTCTTTAAATTATAATTGAATATTATTATTATTTAGTATTATGCTATTAACTAATAATGATACAGTTGACTTTAATTTACGAAATAAATTTTTAGAATATTTAATAAAAATGAAAGATATCTTTCTATAGCAGAAGCTTGATCAGGGTTGCCACTGGTCAGGGAATTCAGAGAAAAGTCAGGGATTTTTATTAAAAGTACTGGAAAAAATTAAATTTTTAGAATTCATAAGAAAAATCTAAATTTTTTATGTCTTTTTTGTTTGCCTCATAAATTATGAAGCTACCACGAATTCTAATACAAAACCTTCAAAATTTTTTTCTATTTCTTACATGAATGAATTTTTAAATATTATTCAATTATTTCAAAAGTTTTAACGCAATTATCTCGATAAATATCAAAATTCTTCACAGAAATCCAATTATTTTTAATTTTAGGAATTTTAATATAACTTTTTTCAAAATTCAATTATTTCCACATAAATAACAATATTCACCACAAGAATTCCATTATTTTCATAAATAATAAAATGCTTCGAAGAAATTTAATTATTTAAAAAAATTTTAACGAGTATCTCGTCAATAATTTAATTATCTTTATAAATAACAAAATTTTTCTACAAAAATTCAATTATTTTCAAAAATTTAAATAAAATGATTTGCAAAATTTCAATTATTTTTAAAAGTTTTTCGTAATTACATGATTTTCAATATTTACCATGTTCATAAAATTTATCAAATAATTTTAATATTGAAAACAATTTTTTATACAATTCTACGAAAACATTCAATTATTATCATTAGAGGTGTGCAAAATTCGAATCGAGAGAATATTCGATTCGAACTGCCAATTCGAAGGTTCGAATTGCTTGACTCGACTCGAGTTTCGAATAAAGTCGTCCAATTCGAAAATCGAAGTTAGACTTTCGAATTTCTGTGTAGTGTATGCAGTATGTTGTGTTTCGAATTGGCCGAATTATTCGAAACTCGAGTCGAGCAATTCGAATCGAGAAAAAATTCGATTCGAACTACCAATTCGAAATTCGAAACTTCGATTCGAATCGAAAGTTAACCGAGTCGAGTTGAGCAATTTGAAATTCGAACCTTCCAATTGTCAGTTAGAATCGAATTATCTCCGTATCGAATTTTCTGTTGTCGAGTGATTAATGTTCGGTTCGACTCGATTACATGCACACCTCTCATGAATAATAAAATTTCATTTAGAAATTCAATTATTTTCATCGCAGAAATATTTGCGAAATCAAATGTTTTTAACAAAATTTTAAATAAATTCCATGAAGAATGCAATTATTCTTACATATTTTATTAAAACTTGACAAAGAATTGAATTTTAAGAAACATTCAATCATTCAATAAAGTCTTAAAATTCGTTGCAATAATTCAATTATTTTCATAAATGAGTCATCGGATCTTATAACGACACATAAAATTGTCACGGCGATATTAGTTGACCCCCAAAAGTGTAAAAATAAATAAAACAAATTGTTTTCCAATTACTTCTAAATAGGAAATTTTCTTGTATGTACATCTTTTTTTTCTATTAAAATTTTTTTTATCTATTAAACTTTTTGACTAACTAACTCTAACTAACTCTTCGCATGAATTATTTTTAAAATTTAATAAAAATCTTTATAAAAATTAAATTTTAAGAAACGTTCAATTATTGAATAAATAATTTATTTTTGTATTTAAATAAATGAATTCTTCTCGAATTTTCTAATAAAAATTGATTTAAAAATAAATTCCGGTCAAATTTGTGTGGTAACCCTGTTGATATAAAGGTAATCCTTTTCTAACTTTATTAATATAACGAAATTTGCATTTCTTTGTCTTTATGGTATAAAGAATAATTGTAACACCTCGACAAAAAAGTGATCAAAGAAGCCGAAAATGCCAGGTTATATTAGTAATTTTTGAAATGATAGTATAAATAGTGTTTCGTGGTATGGTAAAATTTAGAGTTGAAATAATGAGGCGCACATTACGGTTCATATAATTTAATTATTTATTTTAAATATAAGGATAAGGTGTTTATTTTAATACAATTTGCTCATTTTTTGATTGGAGCTGATCGCGTCGAATCATTTGTGCCAGTTCGAACACGACTGGTTATTTTTGAGTTTTCTTGTAGAGGAGTTGGTGTAGTATTTGCAAATTAAGTAGTGGGGTACAGACATGGAAGGGGTAGGGTAAAAATGACCATTTTTATAGCATTCAAGGGTCTAATGACCAGATGGGTCTAGTTCAAAAATATCGGTCTTAAAATCAGATAAGTTTGAGTCTGGCGACCTGGTTAATGGTAGGGCCCAGAAAAGTGTCTGGAAAGTCCACTAGTTACCCTCAATATAATTTAATAGAATTGGAACAATATATAATAAAATTATAGATGTTACAAAACGTGCTTCTTAAGTAAGTTTCTAGCTTAGAAGGATTATCCTTTTTAGCAATTTGGTTTTATAACAGTAATTATGCTATGAACCAACAAAAAATGTACAGAAATGTTCTTCGACAGAACATACCGGCCGCCTTGAACGACTCGTGTTCAAAAATGTTAATTAAAAAACTTGAATTTGCTATATTATGAATTTTATAATTAGAGCACATTTGTTAATAAAAAATATTGTGACTCCAATAAAAAGTTGTAATAATGTCTAATTGTCAGTTTGAAGTGGGCACACTTTTTTTACACATCTCTTGTATTTTCAATTGGCTGTTGCGACGGTCACAACTCTTATAACCCCATCGGCACCAGGATGAGTCTCAACAATACCTCCGAGTGCCCACTGCAAAGGTGGCAGATTGTCTTCCTTCAAAATCACCAAGGTTCCAATTTGAATATTTAAGGAACCTGATTGCCATTTGTTGCGACTGATTTGCTCATTTAAGTATTCCTTGTGCCAGCGACACCAGAAATGTTGTCGCATTTGTTGAGCGTGTTGCCAAGGTGAGAGTCTGCCAGGGTTGATGTCTTGTAGGTCTACCTGTGGTAAGCTTGTTAATGGACCACCAATGAGGAAATGACCTGGGGTTAAAGGACGGAAATCGTTCGGATCAGAGGATAATGGTGTGATAGGACGTGAATTAAGAACTGCCTCAATTACATACGTTTGCAATTGTTCAAATGTTAAAACTGTATCACCTACTGTTCTTAAAAAATGATGTTTGAATGATTTTACCGCAGCTTCCCAAAGACCGCCAAAATGAGGAGATCTGGGGGGGGGATAAAGTTCCACGTAATTTTCTCATTATTTAAAAAATGATTAACGTTATTAAAGTGTGTAGGTGAATTAATTAAATCACTTAATTCCTTTAATTCTCTGCTAGCTCCGACAAAGTTTGTAGCATTGTCTGAATAAATTGCTCTAGATTTACCGCGACGAGCGAATAATCTTTTTAAACTCGCGATAAATGCATCGGTTGTCAGGTCACTTACTAGTTCAAGATGAACAGCCTTAGTAGAAAGACAAATAAAAACAGCAACATAGCATTTGATTTTTTTTGTATTACGGTATCTTTTTTCCTTTATATAAAAAGGGCCACAATAATCAATTCCAACGTTCAAAAACGGACGCGAATAGGTTGACCGATCAGTGGGCAAATTTCCCATAATGTGATTAAAGGCTTGAGGTTTCACTCGAGGGCATTTCGTGCATTGACGTATAACCTTTCTAACTGTATTTCTTTCGTCAAGAAGCCAATATCGTTCCCTAATTGCGTATAGAGTGGTTTGTATTCCGGCATGTTTTAATTCGACATGTTTTTCACGAATTATCATATCTGAAATATGAGATTTTCTGGGAAGCAAGATCAGATGTTTTTGTTCATAAACTAAATCTGAATGTTTCAATCTTCCTCCTACCTTAAGAATTCCGTTTTCTAGAAATGGACTGAGAGAAAGAATTTTACTTTTATTATAAATTTCCTTGTCATTTTGCAATTGTTTAATTTCTCGAAGAAATTCAGTTGACTGGGCTGATTTAATAATAAAATTTAATGAACATTCAATTTCTGCGTGTGATAATTGTCCTGATAGTTTCTCTTTATTTTTCGGGTTTGAGTTATGAATAAAACGAAAGCAGAAGGATAATACGCGGTTTAGTGTGCGCATAGACGAAAATCGATTAAAAATTTCATTCGACGACATTGTAAGAGCCATCGTTGTTTGTGCAATACGTACATTTCGAGTTTCCGGAATTTCACAAGTTTGAAGTTTTATCTCAGGCTAAGTATTTTCATCTTGACTGAGCCAAGAAGGTCCATATTGCCAAATATGGTCTGTCAAAAATTCTGTTGGACTTCTTCCTCGCGAAGACAAGTCGGCTGGGTTATCTTGAGAAGGAACATGTTTCCACTCATGAGATTGTGTAATCTCTTGAATTTCAGCTACTCTGTTAGAAACGAATGTTTTTAATTTATGCGGTGGAGTTAATATCCAATGCAATGCAATAGTCGAGTCCGACCAGAAAATTACCTTTTTTACCTCTAAATGTGTTAGAGCTGGAAATAAAGAGGCATACAACCGAGACAATAGCTGGGCGGAGCAGAGTTCTAATCTAGGTAAAGTAACAGGATGAACCGGTGCGACCCGAGATTTGGAGCAGGCAAGAAGGGACTTGTGCTGTCCTTGTCTATCTGTGGTTCGCAGGTATATACAAGCTCCGTAGGCCCGTTCGCTTGCATCACAAAACCCATGAATTTGTATTTCTATTGTGTCCGGGGCAATTAGACACCTATTGAAGCGCATGTTATTTAAAAGAGGCAATTGATTGCTAAGCTCTTTCCAAATTGTTTAAACCTCAGGTGGAATTATTTCATCCCATGATATTTGTAATTTCCATAATAATTGGATTATTAACTTTGCTTGGACAATAACTGGACCGAGCAATCCAAGTGGATCGAAAAGTTTCGCGATTTCTGATAAAATTAATCTTTTTGTTAATTGTTTGTCGGGATTCAAAGGTTTGACACTATAGAGAATAGTATCATCCTTTGGATTCCAAAAAATTCCTAGTGTTTTTATGGTGTCTATTGAGTGTAGGGACATTAATTCAGTTTCACTAGTTTCTGTCATATCGTTAATTAAGCGTGAATCGTTTGATGCCCATTTACGCAAATTAAAACCGCCCTTTTTTGTTAATTCAATAAGTTCATTGCGTAACTCTAAAGCCTCTTGATATGTCGATGCACCTGTGTGCATGTCATCGACAAAGAAGTCTCGTTTTAAAACCTTAGCAGCTAAAGGGAAAGCGTCACCTTCATCTATTGCCAATTGTTTTAAAACTCGAGTTCCTAGAAAAGGAGCTGATGCCGTACCATACGTAACGGTTTTTAATTTGTAAATTTTTATAGGTTCTGTTGGATTGCTGCGCCAAAGAATTTTCTGATAATTTGCATCTTCTATATCTACCTGAATCTGCCTATACATCTTTTCAATATCAGCTGTAAGAGCGAACGGAAAAGATCTAAATCTTGTATAGATTGTAAATAAATCGTCTTGTATTGTTGGACCTACCATTAGAGCCTTATTTAATGACATGTCATTTGAATCTTCCATTGAACCATCGAAAACTACTCTTGTTTTAGTTGATAAGCTGTCTTCTTTTAAAACAGCATGATGGGGCAAAAAGAAACCTGTATAGCGAGAATTAGGATCAATATCTAATGACATGTGATTAAGAGCTTCGTATTCTTCGAGAAAATTAGAATAAGCCTCCTTTAATACTGTATTCTTTAAAAATTTATTTTCTAGAGCATAAAAACGTCGAAGAGCTATCTCATACGATTTTCCTAACCTTTCTTTATTCTCATTAAAGGGCAATTTAACTATATATTGACCATTATCGTTTCTCTTAACATTTTGAGAAAAGTGTGACTCACAAGCTTGTTCTTGTACCGAAAAAATTTGTTTTTTCTGAACCTCCTCTATTTCCCAAAAACGAGTTAGTTCATCATTTTGAAAAAGAGTTGAATTCATTGTTAAGTGACAGGTTGTATTTTTGAAACCTAAATATCTTTGAGATACATCACCTGCTATAATCCAACCTAATCGAGTCTTTTGTAATATTGCCTCATGACCTTGAAGCTTTACTTGACCTACGCATATGAGCTTGTAAAACAATTGCACGCCGATTAAAGCATCAACTTCAGCGGGTTTAAAAAACTCAGGATCGGCAAGCTTTAAATTTGTTGGTATGTTATGAACATTTCGATTAATTGGTATTGACGGCAAGGTACCTGTAACATGTGGGACGACTAGAAAATCTAGTTTTTTCTCAAAATTATTAAAGCGAGATTTAAATGTTGCCGAGACAGATTCATTAATATCATTTGAGGCTAGATTTAAACCTGTAACCGCAATGTTAACAGATTGTCTAGGCAGTTTGAGAAGGGATGCCATTTTCTCTGTCATATAATGTGATTGAGATCCATTGTCTAATAATATTCGACATGGATGTGAGTGACCTTGATTATCGATTATGTCGACAATGGCCGTGGATACTAAAGAATGAGAAGTTGTGTGTGATTGCATATTAACTGACGAATTGTTTGCATTGGGTACCTCCGAAGGTTCCACTGCCTTTTCCTCAATATGCAATAGAGAATTGTGTTTTTTACCACATTTTCTACATGGACCTGATCGACATTCTTTCGCCCGGTGCTTTGGTCGCAAACAATTAGTACAAAGAGAAAGTTTTCGAGTTTCCTCTATTCTTTCTTTTATGGAAAATTTTAGAAACTTTTCACAAGAAAAAATCTCGTGCTCACCTTGACAGTAAAAACAAGCTGGTTTACTCGTCTGTGATGCAACATATGCGTGTTGCTGAGGATTCTTTTTTGGCGCGTTGCTAATATTTCGCGAGTCATTTTTATTACCTGATTTGACGCTTACTTGAACCGATTTTGTGTCCTCAAATTGAGCCCTGCGCTGGAGAAAGGTTATCATGTCTTTCATTGTTGGAAGTGTTATCTCATTAGTGATATCTTCGAATTTTTCGCGCGTTGGAGCATTAAGTTTATCTTTAATTAACAACAGGAGAATTGTGTCCCATTTGTCAACGGGTTGTCCTAATGCACGAAGTGCTCTCAAATGTTTTTGTATATGATCCAATAGTGCACGAATAGAAAATTCCTTAGATGTAACCGGAGCTTGTATAATTGCTCTAGTATGATTTTCAATGATTACCCGTTTATTGTCATAGCGATCTTTTAATAAGTTCCATGCGACAGTATAATTGTCGGATGATGTTTCGAGAGATGCAATTAAGTCTGCAGCTTCATCTTTTAAACAAGATTTTAAATAATGAAGCTTTTGAATCTGAGGAATTTTCGGATTGTCATGCACTATTGATTTAAATGTGTCAGAAAATCCTAACCATGTATCGTATGTGCCAATGAATGTTGGAAGATTTATGGTGGGAAGCCTAATATTTGAAAATATTATATTCTCTTGACTGTTAGTTAAATGTTCTGTGGATGCTGAGTGACTAATTTCTCTTGAACTAGTATTTTCCGGATTTAGCAATGCCTTTAATGAAGCAGATAAGAAAAAATAACGTTCCTCGAAATTGTCACGCGCGGGTGACCTGAATTCAGACGACGGATCATCATTATTAATAATTTCAATCTCTTCCGGTACAAGTTCTTCGAGACGCGTTTGAACTTTATCGAATTCGGCCCAAGTCTCCTTAAGTTTTTGCAATCTTCCTTGAGGATCAAGCATAACTATGCTTTTGGCGTCAGTAATTTTGTCTAATGCGCTTCCTAAGTTTGTTAATATTCTTTTAATATTACCCCTCTGCATGTGCAGAGCTTTAATTTCCTTTTCTGACATTGTTATTATTTCTTTTTGAAAAATACGAAATTGAGACTGACAACAATTCTGTATGAAAGGATATTTTACTAGGAATTGGTGGTACAATTAACTTACTTACCAAAGGATTGATGAGATGAACTGATTGATGTCGTAGCAACTGGAACTCCGTCCACGATGAATCCACGAAATTTAGGGCCAAGTACTGGAACACAGCTTCCCTTGATGATTTTCTCACTCGCTTAATTCGTATTGGGTTGAAATGGTTGCGTTGGTATTAATTTCAAGATTAAAGTTTTTAATTTAGTTGGAATTGGAACACAATCTCCAACACGATACTTTTCTCACTTGCAACGTCTATGATACAGGAACACTGTTAACTGTGATTACTGACAGTTTTATTGTATTGTTTATCACTTTAAGTACACCTTTTGCATTGAACTTAGTCCTTTATCATTTCAAAAAAATGTATTGTTCACCACTTGCACTGATTCAGGTTGTCGGCCAAATTAACAATCGTTACACATATTAATTGTAACTACACTTGTTACTTCAGTAAACGTAACAACACGACATATTTCCGCATGACATTTACGTAACAAACACGCGACAAATATATCCAACGTTCGAAGGACCAAAAATGTTTCGTGGTATGGTAAAATTTAGAGTTGAAATAATAAGGCGCACATTACAGTTCATATAATTTAATTATTTATTTTAAATATAAGGATAAGGTGTTTATTTGAATACAATTTGCTCATTTTTTGATTGGAGCTGATCGCGTCGAATCATTTGTGCCAATTCGAACACGACTGGTTATTTTTGAGTTTTCTTGTAGAGGAGTTGGTGTAGTATTTGCAAATTAAGTAGTGGGGTACAGACATGGAAGGGGTAGGGTAAAAATGACCATTTTTATAGCATTCAAGGGTCTAATGACCAGATGGGTCTAGTTCAAAAATATCGGTCTTAAAATCAGATAAGTTTGAGTCTGGCGACCTGGTTTATGGTAGGGCCCAGAAAAGTGTCTGGAAAGTCCACTAGTTATCCTCAATATAATTTAATAGAATTGGAACAATATATAATAAAATTACAGATGTTACAAAACGTGCTTCTTAAGTAAGTTTCTAGCTTAGAAGGATTATCCTTTTTAGCAATTTGGTTTTATAACAGTAATTATGCTATGAACCAACAAAAAATGTACAGAAATGTTCTTCGACAGAACAAATAGAGAATCAATTCTCTATATTAACGAGTATTATTGAAGTCTGAATTATATCCAAAAATTTACATAAAAACTGTTTTTATTGTTTCACAATTAAGAAAAAAGTATAATCACTGTATAACTGACAAAAGGGTCTCTTTCTTAGTGGCGCTTCACAATTACTTTTAAAATAACCGAAATTCTACAAAGCTGCAATATAAAATTTTTTATTTTTTCGTTTAGCGGAAAAGACACAGGTTATGAGAAGATTAGATAGGGTGGAATTTGCGATACATACGCGGGACGGCAACAATGAAAATAATCATCGCAACGTGAATGTTTCCTTTCTATGCAAAGATAAGGAAATGAAGCATTTTCCTATGAAAACTTTGAAAGTTTTCGATTGGAACGAACAGAAACTTGTAAATGATATCTTCAAAGAAAAAGTTGTAAGCATACCAAAAAATTTTTATTACACTAATATCTAATATTGCTTATACGCTTAGTATCTTAGTATCTTTTTTTAATATTAACTGAGGGCCTGGATGCTATAATATGTGTTATGCGCCATTTACTTAACATGGCGAATAACATATTATAGCATTCAACCCCTCAATTACATTGTCGCTTGATATGGGAGGAGAGCTAAGCCATTTTAAATAGTGGTAAAAACTGTACACTTTTGAATAGTTTTTGAAACTTTCGCACTCAACAAATTCTTTCTCTAAGTTAAAATTGTCAGCTCAATTAAAACGTAAATTAGATTAAACACTTCTGTAAAACAATTAGACAATTGTTTATATCGCCTACTTGTAACGGCATTTAATTTTGCTTTTCATTGAAAATACAGTTACTGGAAATAATTTTTTATTGTTTTCAGAAAAATGCTTTGAAAAAGAATGGAAAATTCAGCACTATTAGCATTACAATATCTCAGATGTTAGAATGTTTGATGACATATGAATTGGGCTTAAAATTCTCGTTTAAGGGTCGAAAACCAAATGTGAAGAAAGCTTTCATCACCACTCGCTTATATAACGTAGTGTTTAGTTAGTATTGTTTTCTTTCTATACATAAATTATATCTTTACATTGTTATTAATTTAATCATTTTAATGTTTAGATGCTGCTAATGAGCTCTACGGAGCTGAAGTGACAGTGGCTTTAGTGAACAGCTCTATGTCATCATGGCTAATTTATTGCAAAACAAGACTAAAACGTCAAGAATGGTTAGCATTTCTTTACTATTAAATATTTAATTTTTGAATTTTCAAAAAAAATTTAAATTCTAGTAATTTTTAAAAATGATTTAATCTCTGCACAATACGTTTTTAACAAGTTATGCATAAGATCTACCATTTAATTAAAGTTTTAAATATTTATTTTATAATTGATTAAAATACTATTCACATAGACTGCCATTTTAAATTTCAACAGTTAGAGTTGATTTCTTCTGAAACCACAAAAATTAAATGTATGAAATATAATGTATCCATTACAATTCAATTAATCCTAATTAAAATTAATTAAAATTTTTATCATTCTAAACTTCCTAACGAAAAAAAATCTTTTTTGCTTTTGTTTTTTATTATGTTTCAACAATTCATAATTCGGTTGCTTGAAAAATTTTGAAATTTCTTCAATGATAAACTTAAAAATTTTAATTATTATTTAAAATTAAAATAATTTTATATAAATTCCATCACATATTTGTTATAATATCCTACAGCTGTTAATATCGGTTAATTGATTTAGCGAAGTTGAAGATAGCGACACTTACCAGATCAACTCGTCCTTTTTTGCAGCCTGTAGTCTTGTTCTAGTAAATTCATTATTAATAGCGAATTCTGTTATCTGCCTAGAGTGCCCTTGTTCTGTTCGGGAGTACTGTTTGTATACTTTAACTATAGAAACTTTGTTAAATCGAACATGCTAAAAGAATAATGTAAATTATGCAGTAGAATTTTTATTTACATACTTACTTTTATATATTTACATTTATTTATTTAATCCTTTAAGTGTCAGGTTAAAATACAAGAAATAAACCACAAAATTAAAATTTTTAAAAATAGGTCGAATTCGCTTCAAACTTGTTATTGAGTGTTTTTGGGGTCGCTGGTAACGAATAAAATGTTAGTTTTTCAAAATTTTTATAATTCAAAATGGCGAAAATTCGATTAATTTTCAAAAATTGGTCAGGTTCAAATGTGATGCCTATATATAGGCGTCAGTGATGACACTGAAAGGGTTAAATACATACTCACAGATTCTACGAGTGGGTCTATAGAGTGCAATCTTTTTAAATGTTCCACATATTTCTATTCACTCTTCACAGAATTTAGAAATTTTTTTACTTTACTAGCGCTTCGTCGACCGCTTCGCGGTCGACTTCTTTGCTTCCTTCTTTTTTCTATGCCAAATGTTCCTTCTATTTAATTTTAAATTGTTTATTGTGATTCATTTAAAATTACCTAAATTTTTATTCATCCATCTTCTAACTATGTGTGAGTTTTTAAGGTACTATATTTCATTTGGATTTGGAAATGTAAGTGTGCCCTTCTATGTTTCATTTTCATTTGCTATAACTGCCAGAGTACATTCGATTATTTTCGATTTAAATTCGAGATTTCTCACTCATGTCTTTTTTAATTACTTTAAAAAATTCGCTTCTTATAAAATTATGGATTTAAAGAACTAAAAAATATATGAAAAGTAAGTTTTCAAAACCTGATTAATCCAAATTTTATCATTTCGATCAATTTAAACAAATAAAAATTCTCACATAACTATAAGGATTAATTAGAATGTAGAAAAATTGAAATAAATTATTCATTTTTGAATATTTTTTCTATTCAAAATGCTTTCTTTGTAATTAAAGACTATTGTAATAAGAAAATTTAAAGGTTTTGGTAATTTTTTCTAATAAAAAAATTAAAATTAAAAATCATTAAGGTTAGGCCAAAATATTTTTTAAATTGAAAATTCTTTGGTAATAAATTTTTTTGTCCTATCTGCCCCGAAATTGTCATTTCATCCTGGGTCCCTTAATCTCACCATCGTCGCAATCGCCTATTTTACACCCTTGATACGAAAACAACTATTTCTTAATTTGAACAGTGATAAATCTATTTCTAAGGATTTTAATATTTTAAATGTATTTATCTAAATTCTATTGAAAAATGGATTAATCAACTTTTAAAAAATTGCTTCTCATATGTTTTTTTACTGAATTTGGACAATAATATTATCATGACAATCCATCTTTTGCATTACAGATTTGTTCTTTAACATAAAAATAACAAAATGGAGAACATGGGCAACAAAAATGACGATGATGATGAGCACAAAAGTATTAAAAAGTGGTATTATTATTTTACTCTCTCTTTATTACAGTTTTAGTAAAATGTTACCTGTCAATTAAAATTTTTTAAAGTATTAAGCAATAAACATTTAAATATATTAAACATATTGCAATAAAAATTAAAATATCAAATAAACTTTTTCATTTTTTAACCTTATACCTCGATTTTTATCTTCCACTGCTTTATTTTTTAATATAAACTTTAAATTAATTTTTTTTCTTTTTATATAAGCGTGTAATATTACTGTAATATTACCGCGTAAGATTAATGTAATGTTCCTGTAACATTACAGTAACGTTACCGCGTAACATTAATGTAATATTACTGTAACATTACAGTAATATTACCTCGTAATATTACCATGAGGCGGACATTTTAATATCACAGTAACATTACAGTAATATTACCGGGTGGTATTGCTTTAATATTACTGTAATATTACGTGCTACTTGGGATAGTTTAAAGGTTTTGTTCGACATTTTGAATTTTTAAATTTTGATCAAATATTTGGATTTAGCGACCCCAAAAACATAAAATATAATGATATCAGGTATTAAAAAAATAAAAAAAATTAGCACATTTGTATAACGAAAACTTTATTTTGACTACACTGCTAAGGGGTTAAACGTGCGTAAATAATATTCAATTCTTATCCATAGAGGCACAAAAATTGTATACTTTTAAGAAACATAAATTAGAATTTCAAATTTAAAAATGTCGGACAAAATATGAAGGAAACTTTGAAAGAGATACGAGAGAAAATTGGAAATCCCGTGTAGAAATTGCAATGTGGCACTGGTAGGGGCCGTATAAGTTTTCCCTTTTAATATTAGGGGCCGAATAAGGCAAATTGCTGGGGACCTCACCAGTTTCGTTACGCAAAAGGTAATAGGGCCCGACAGTGGAAAATTAATGTGGCCCCAAACAAGGGCCTAACAGGACCCCTATCAAAGCCCTACTAATTACAAATGACCGCCTACTTAAAAAACCCTGGTTTTTATTCATTTTTGACTATTTCTTGTAGTTCCAGGAGGCGTAAATAATTAGGAAGATGAGTAAATAATTATCATAAATTAATATCATAATTCTAACATTAATTATCATAGCTCCTGGAGGCCCCAATAAAAAACGTAGTTGAAACAACTATAAAAAACAATTAAATTAATTATATAAAGTAGGTAGTAAACTGAAATTATTTATTTATTTATTTATTTATGTTTAATAATTGTTTAATTTCGTTTTCTAACCTTTTTCCTACGTACTTTTGTTTATTTTACCTCATATATTTATGTAATACAAATACATCTAACAGAGAAAAAATTCCTAAACGCCGGGAATTGAACCCACGACCCTAATATTCGCAAACCGATAATCTAACCACCTAACCACGCTCGCACGCTACAATGACTTCCTTAATACTTGAGGACATTTATGTTCACATTAATTATTAATTTACAAAAAATAATGTCTCTATCAGTAATTAAAACTTGTTACTCAGGGGTTTTTGGAGTCGCTGATTACAAATCTGAAGTCATTTTTTAGACATTCAAAATGGCGGATCCAATATGGCGGTCAAAATTCAAATTTGATCAGATTCGCATGAAACTTGTTACTCGGGGGTTTTTGTCGTCGCTGATTAAGAATCTGATGTTACTTTTTCAAAATTCAAAATGGCGGATCCAATATGGCTGTCAAAATTCAAATTTGATCAGATTCGCATGAAACTTTTTACTCGGGGGTTTTTGTCGTCGCTGATTAAGAATCTGATGTTACTTTTTCAAAATTCAAAATGGCGGATCCAATATGGCTGTCAAAATTCAAATTTGATCAGATTCGCATGAAACTTGTTACTCGGGGGTTTTTGTCGTCGCTGATTAAGAATCTGATGTTACTTTTTCAAAATTCAAAATGGCGGATCCAATATGGCTGTCAAAATTCAAATTTGATCAGATTCGCATGAAACTTGTTACTCGGGGTTTTTGTCGTCGCTGATTAAGAATCTGATGTTACTTTTTCAAAATTCAAAATGGCGGATCCAATATGGCGGTCAAAATTCAAATTTTATCAGATTCGCATGAAACTTGTTACTCGGGGGTTTTTGGGGTCGCTGAATAAGAATCTGATGTCACTTTTAAAAATTCAAAATGGCGGTTCCAATATGGCGGAAAAATTTTTAATTTGACGCAGTTTTCTTAAAAATTGTGACTCGGGGGTTTTTAGGGTCGCTGACTACGAGTCAGAAGTCACTTTTTACGAATTAAAAATGGCTGTTCCAATATGGCAGAAAAAATTCAAATTTGATCAGATTCACATAAAACTTGTTATTTGGGGTTTTTTGAGATCGCTATTTACAAATTTGAAGTCACTTTTAAGAAATTCTTGCTTTCACTAATCTATAATGTAAATAATTTATTATTTTTACAAGTTTTAAGCGAATTGGATCATATTTAAATATTTTATTATGTATTTTGGATCCGACATTTTGAATTTTTAAAAAGTGATATTAGATTCGTAATCAGCGACTCCAAAAACCCGTGAGTAACAAGTTTTTTGACAATCTATTTTGGATCCGACATTTTGAATTTTTAAAAAGTAAAATCAGCTTCGTAATCAGCGACTCTAAAAACCCCCGGCTTACAAATATTATTCGAATCTGATCAAATTTTTAATTTTGACCGCCATATTGGATCCGCCATTTTGAAATGTTTAAAAATGACTTCAGATTTGTAATCAGCGAGCCTTATTCCTCTGACTGGGACCGTTGAAAGAGATTTACTTCGCGTGCCACATTAATAAACAAATTGTTTAAATAAACTAAAATGTTGCAAGGAGCTATTTTTTTAATTTTTTCAAAATATAAATTCATAATAATGAATAACTAATTAATAATTATAATATACTATAATATAATAATATATAGTAGTTGAATAAACTGAGACTAACAATTTGATTGTATAATACTAGACGCAAAATAATAAAAAATAATTA